TTTATTGAAATCAGTGATAAAAAATAAACAAAAACATAAATATAAATAATCATTTGTGTAGTGACCCTTATTAATATAATTTACCTTAGGCACGTATTTGTTTAATGCGATTTCTTATGTACACGACGGCGACAACTCCTGCAATTCGCATCAAGAAGTTTCCGCCTCTTTCCAATACCGGTCCGAGACACGTGGTCTTCATCTGGGGCCGAAATGAATAATGGAACGCACTACTCATTTCGCGTGTTCTCATTAATACCCATGCTCTATTTGCAATCATGACCGCTTTGTGGCTAAATCAGATGGGTATAATCGTCGAAATGATTGACCGCAATGCTTGGATCACCGGGGAATGCACTAAGCCTCATAGGAAAAGTAGATCCCATTATTTTGAAGAAAAAAATGGTTAAATTTTTGTATATTTTAAGGAAAAAATTACAATTTTTATATATCTATTATTTTAAAAAAAAAAAATTAAAATTTCTTAATCTCATTCTTAAATTTCTGAATTAGTGACGGACAGAGATGGATATGCTGAGGCATCGGGACAGCGTAAAAGTGAAGATAATTAAACCGGGACCCAAATATATATCTACACTTAATTTTTTGCAGATTTGGTTTATCCGATAGTCATATCGAGTTTTACCATAAAAGGAATCATCACATCAAAATATTTTTAGTATAATTTTTAAGGTTTTGTTTTAATTAATTTGCATTAATTCGAGTTATATATTTGATTTTAGTGGATGAATCTTTTAACGGAAATTTTTTACATATAAAATAACTCTAACTTAAGATTTACTTAAGCGATATCAAGATACTTATCACTTTAACTAATTTTTTCGTAGAATCACGTCAACTTTTAATTTATTTTAATTAAATTAAAAGTTAGATTATATTTTACAACGAGAATAAAGTTTTCGACATTATTTACAATTGGCTAATTCTAGTAACTAAATGACTTTTTTGGCAAGGTAGTACCTAAATTACTTAGATTGCGAAGTTGGACAATCCCAGCTAGTCTTTATTTTTCTATTTTATAATTTATATTCAATATTTATATTATTTTTAATAATATCATTTTTAAAAGTCAAAATCTCTTAACATTATAACATATTTTATCATTATTTCAAACATATATTTGATTTTATTTACGGCAAGATCTACATGGAGACGGTAGACCAAAGACCAAACATTGGGAGGATAATAATTTAATCTTCATTTATGGTGCGTTGTGTGTCGGCTGAGGATCTTTGGGCCAAGTTGGTTTGTCTTTTACTATGAACTCGACCGTGGAAATGTTGAAAATTACATAAGACATTTATTATTTAGAAAATTTTAATTATTGTTTATTATTTGTTGTCAATTGAACAATTAATTGTTAAAATGCTTACTCGAAAGATAACTAAATAAGTAGTTTAACTTAACATATATTAAATGACATAATATGAATATTCTTTAATTATTCGATTAATCGATGAATAATTATACCTCCTTTTTTTGTCCTCCCACTTCCAAAATTCCGTCTTGATTAATTCAAATCGACCCGCATCATACACTTGATTTTTGTGTGTGAGTCTCCCAACGGATTTTTTTTGCATACACAATGATTCAAACTCAATATTTGTTTAAGTGATATCAAACTGCTCATTATTTGAACCAAATCCATCATTAATTATACTTTTAATATGTTTTTTACGTGTTTAAAATTTAATTATCTGCTTTTAATTTCAAGAATTTAGTAAAAACCCTAAAACGAATCATAGATACCCTAGCTACTCTAAAGTATGGTCCATATCTCCACCAAAGCTCCTTTGAATATATTAAAGTGAAAACCCTAAACCAAATCATATACATCCATACATGAGCTGAGATTTTAATTTAAAGACCTAAATGTGGCACATCTGGGAAATCAACTGATGATCATTCTCTTCCACAAGAATCAAAGCTTGGGCACCACTAGCATTGATGTCTTGTTCAAGAGTTCAAACTTCCCATGGTTTTCGTCTTTAGTGTGGAAAAACACTTAACCCAAAGTTTTTCCCTCGAATTAAGCTTTAAATAGTGGATACCGGATTTGTTTAATCATATGATTGTCTGCTGTTGCTGTCAAACATGACATTATGTCTGCAATTACACCATACATATTTGCAAAAGAGTTTTTTTCCAACTCGGTCCTTATTAGTCAGAAAAAAACCATGCCTTCGTTCTACATCATCTTTTGACCAGAAAAATCCCAGGGAAAAAGTTTTATCAACTCTGCTGAATAAGACAATGATAGAATATGAAATCTAAGCGTTCATGTGAGTTTATTTACCTGAAGTATATCTGCCTTTTCATTTAATAATTTAAAGTATTTGTTAGTTAAAATAAGTATTTAAAGTTATATTTTGATCCAATTAAGTACCTAAAGTATTTTATGTCAAAATAAATACCTAAATTATTCACACTTTTTCATCTAAATTCTAAAAAAGTTGACATGTAATATTAATTAAAGAATACTTTAGGTACTTAGATAAAAAATTGAATCCTTTAGGCATTTATTTTGACCAAAAAATACTTTAGGTACTATATTTTAGCTAAAAAGATAACATTATGTTTTTATTATGATCAAAAAATACTTTAGGTATTTAAATGAAAAAGATAATATACTTGAGGTACTTATTTTGTTATATAAGCATTTATTTAACTGGTTAACCATTTTAGATTTTTTTTTAATATCAACAATTTCGATTAGTGGGATTGTTAAAGCCTAACCCACTATGGCGTAAAAACCTGAGAGATCATTGGATTTGATGCCTTCAATCCATTCTGACTAGCCATAGTGGAGGTGGGGGAAGGTGTAAAGATTCTTCACTTATATATATTTTAAATTTTTATATATATTTTTATTAAAAATCTATATTCTTTCTTTAAAACTTTCTAAGTTTAAGTTCGTTTCATAAAATTTTAAAAATTTAAATCCGTTTTTATCATAAAATTCTACGTTAGTCCATTTATGAGAAATTATTTTATGGACATGGCTTACAACGTCATCTTTAATCTCAGAGAATGAGAATTCGCAGATTTTAAAATAACTTCCAAATAACTACCACTTGTTATTTAAATATATATATATATATATATATGGGATGGATGGATAAGACAGCTCTTTTCTTTGAAATTTTAAAATTAATATATATTTTAAATTTTTATATATTTTTTTATTAAAAATCTATATTCTTTCTTTAAAACTTTCTAAGTTTAAGTTCGTTTCATAAAATTTTAAAAATTTAAATCCGTTTTTATCATAAAATTCTACGTTAGTCCATATATGAGAAATTATTTTATGGACATGGCTTACCACGTCATCTTTGATCTCAGAGAATGAGAGTTCGCAGATTTCAAAATAACTTCCAAATAACTACCACTTGTTATTTAAATGTATTAAAGAAGTTAAGATACACATTAAAAAAAAATAAGATGTACAAATATTATTAGTTGAGAACACATATAACGTGGCGAGTTAAGTCCATCTAATAATTTCTCCTTGATATTTTTGAATTTTGGAAAGATGGAGGAATATGTTCAGGTTTGAATCCGTGGTACTTTGAAGAGCCACATACATGAACTATTCAGGCCATGGCGGACATCACAATTCACATTTTACATTGCCATTGCTCTCTGCTATTGACCGACAAAAGTTCAAACAGCATGTGGGATTCAACACTAGATTTGGGGTCCTACGTCTAGATTTGATTCACCTCAAATTTCCATTAAAAAACCCCATGCCACTCTCTTCGTCTTATATGTGTGTATATATATATAATAAAGAAAGACTTACCGCTACACAAGTTTATATCGAACTCAAAACAACCAAACCATAATGGACATAGTCAACTGAAATCACATATATAATACATATATATCGCAGAATTTGATTGAGTTGAAGACAGAATGCTTGTAGATTGGTTCCATTTAGATGTTGGACCAAGTAGGACTGCAAAGAGTCGAGTCGAGTTGGAGTATCGCTGAGTTCGACTCAACTCGAAAACTCTAAAATAGAGTTCGTCTCGATTTGAAAACTCGCGAGCTTAAAATTTTCAAGCTCGACTCGAACTCGAAACTATGAACTGAAGCTAGTAAAAGCTAGAAATGAAAAAAAATCTTAAATTTAACTCGACTGAAAACTCAAACTCAAAACTGCACCTTAAATATATAAAAACCTTATATTGTATTTTTTAAAAAAATCAACACATAAATGTTAATGTTATTAATAATTTATTTTTTTAAATATTAATATATTAATTTTTTCGAGATGTTGCCAAACTTTTCGAGTCGAGTATTAAGTAGCTCATTTCGTCTCTTTAAGAACTTGAGTTGAGTTCAAAGTCGAGTCTATTCGAAAAGTATTTATCGAAGTTTGACCGAATCGATCTCAAATAGTTCACGGTCTGTCTCATCTCGTCTTATTTATTTCCCTAGGCTAGATAAACGAGGGATGCTTTCTTTGCTTTAGCAGCCATGACTAGATACGTGCATCCTTACTCTCAAGATTTGATTCCAGACAGATAATATTTCTTTCTTTTATTAAAGTTTCATGCAACTTGCATATGCCCTGTAATGGCGGCCCATGCACAACATGTAGAGATCTCTTTCAGCAATAATAACATTAATAAGTAGAAGAATAAGTGCTCCAGTATTAAAATGGCTGGATGCTGAAGAACTCGGTTGCAGTTTCATATATCTATGCATGGATGGGTAGAGGGGGTGTTGGGGTACGACGGTAGTTTTAAAAATTTTAAATTTTCATGTAATTATCACATTCCAGTAAGCAAATCAAACAACTCACACATGCGAAAAGTCGAAACAGAGCATGAAAGGATCATCACTAAAGAGAATCACACGGTTCCATATTTCACGTACACGAAGAGCTTGATTAATCAGAAAACAATCATTTAAGCACAACACGGGAAAACGATAATTTCTAGCAGCTTAGGTAATCGTCATCAACTCGAAGCTCAAGCTGTAGCAGTACCTGCAACAACAACAATGGTGAAAATGTGAAATAGATTACTCCAAAACCAATTTCAAGAAACTTGATCGATACTCATTAGTTACTTAAATCAAGAATTTTATGTTCACAATGTACGTTAAAGATGATTAAAAGGTTGTGGGGATTCGTCCCTACCAATCTTAAATTACCGGCAGACACACATGGAAACCCTACCATGGGAATTATCATGGGGCCAAAGTTGGATTCAACTCGGTGTTCTTGTCAACTTCTTTTTTCCCTTAAAGGGCCCCAATTATTTCAAGCTTCTCTCCTGTCCATGCAAACTTGACCTAACCATGCAGAGACATGGAGTACGTACAACAAGATCCAGTTGCAAAACCTTCGCATGTAATACAAGAAGAAAGGGAAAGACCGAATAGTGAATCATTTTCTGTGGCTCATAAAATCTACCTGGAGATTGTTCAAGCAGATAAGCTGATTCACTGGCTTCATGCTTCTTCTTGCTACATTGCTTGTTTAATTTATTTCCCCTGCCTCCAAACTCTGGGTGGATCTTCTTCTTCAACATTCTCCTCATCGTCTAATAACGGATAAAAATTAATTATGGAAAATATGAAGAACTTTATATAGTTTATATTTGTACTCACAGTCACTTGGTTTAGCATTTTGATGGGGCGCGAATGCTCTCCAACTTGAGGAATGAGTTTCTTAGAGAAAGAAAGGCCCTGTTTTGTACGAACTGATCCTTTTCTGCTACAATTCGAGTCCGATTCAAGAGAGCTCGGCTTCTTTTTCATGCTGGAATCAGAATCCTCGGAGAATAGGTCGGCCAGTGTCGTTCTTCTTCTCACCATCCCAGAATGTCCCTCAATGGCATCCAATTTTGTCCTGATTTCATCATTTGTAGACCCCTCAGAAGCCGGATTAACCGTCATAGTCATGTCCTTGAAACCGTGGTCGAAACTGCTTAACATCAGTGGATTCTCTTCTTCATTACTATCACTGTAGTCTTCGTTATCGGAGTGTTGTTCTTCCTCCCCTTGTTCATCATCGCTTTCAGAGGCGAAGCAGGATTTCTGTTCACCCCAGGGTAATTTCAGAGGATCGAAACCGAAGGTACCAATTGTTAGAATGCCATCGAGCACGTCAACCAGGGGTACCTGCTCGAGCAAAGCCTTTGTATCTGTGTCGATCACAATGCCATCAGTCTTCTTAACACTTCGAGACGGCCCATCTGCTCAAAATATGGAAGTTTCCTAATGATCAAACACTGTTCCACAGAGAATGTACAATGCTACGTATATATAATGCAAGAAATTGAACCTTTGAGGACGGTATGATTGAACCTCCTCTGCACCCAGTTGAATATCTATCGAATAAAATTAAGACCAAACACGAAAATGCAGAGGAAACCATTAGAAACTAAAAGGAAGCTCTGGTTTAACAAATTTATGGGGTATTGCAATTTACCTTCATTGCCTTTTCTAGTGAAGCTATAGTTTGGCGAGGAAAATCAATGCATGCGATGTGCTAAGTGCAGTGAGTGGGGAACTGATTGGGAATGTTTAAAGGAGTTGAGTTGTGACACGTGGCAAAAGAATTACAGCGTAGGAAACTAGTTTGGAATTCAATCCTTGGTACTGTCATTTGACCATATGCTGCTTGTCAGCTTATTTTACAACCCTAAAAGCCTTACACTAATCTAAATGTCGTGACCCCTGGACCGTAAGCCTTATTGGATCTTCTTGTTGTTGCTGCCTGCTTGAAGCAGATAAAAGGTTCAATCTTTCACTCCCCACACAAGCTTTTGGATTCTTTGAGAAAGCAAGGCTTGTAGATCCAACAGCACAATCATTTGCTTTGAGAATCAACGAGGGCCAGAAGTTCCTGAGAGCTCGCACTGTGAACACGTAACATATCTGTTATCTCAATTACGTGTACACAAAGACCCACTTTTAACGATAGTATTAGTTTAAGTAGTAACAGTTTGATATCGTTTAAGCAAGATCTCATGTTCAAGTTTTTATGTATGCATAAAATCTCCGTCGGGAGACTTACCCACCAAAGTCATGTGTGTAATCCAGGTAGGTCTAGATTAGTTAGGAAAAAGTTTAGATCCAAAGGGCAACAAAAAAACCCTACTTAGTTTGGTGCCTAATGTTTCATTCTGTAACTCAAATTAGATCAGGCCGTGACGGACCGTTAATTTTGGCCGTTAGATTATATGTGTCGCAATCTGATAATTTAAAAAATATATTTAAAAATTATATATATATATATATATAAAGAAAACACAAATTTGAAATAAATCCAAAACTTTAAAAACCTTCATTTCAACCTCTAAACTCACGTCGACTGTCGCCCTTTTGCTGTCGACGAAGGTCCATCCGACCTCCCCTCCCCTCGACGATCAAAACCCCATGAAATCGTGATTGATCGATGGTCGATCAGCAGTCGGAATTGGATGGGATCACAATTTTCATCCTAGGGTTTGTGGTGTATAAAACATTGATTCTTCATCGTTCGGTCACGATTTTATGGGGGTTTTGGTCGCCGAGAGGAGGGGAGGTCGGGTGGAACTTCGTCAACGTCAAAAGGCAATGATCAGCGTGGGTTTAGGGGTTGAAATTTTTTTTCAAAAAATTTGGGTTTATTTCAAAAAATTTCTCTTTAAAATTATATACTTTTTAATTTTAAATATAATTTTTAAAACTTTTAAAATTACTAAGTTGTGACACGTGTCACAGAAATTAATGCCGTTGATGACTCGAATACCTAAATGAGTAACTAAATAAAATGTTAGACACTAAACTAGAATGAAATAAACATTAACACTAAATTAAAACAAAAACAATATACGTTGTACACCATTTATATATTTAAACCTTTAAAATTCGACCAGAGCTAAAGGTAAAATCTTGTGGATCATATAAAATAAGCATCTCATTGCCTCGTATTGGCTTTGAAATTTTACTAGGTCAAATTAAGTGACGGAAGTTAAAATTTTGATGCTGTGAATAAATTATTTTAATAATAGCAGTTGAATCAAATAAATTTAGGTTGAGATGATTAGCCAAGTTTGTGAAAGATGTCATGAACCGGCTGAAAAAATCCATTGCTTACACTCTCAAAAATGGCCTGGAGCAACACCAGACTGAGCTTCTCATCATCCAACTCATCCAAGCACCGAACATCCCTTATGCCCACAAGCTCTTCGATCTCACTCCAAAAAAAACTGTGTTTCTCTACAACAAACTCATCCAAGCCTACTCCTCGGTTAACCGATCCCACGAATGCCTCACTCTCTACTCCCAAATGTGCCTCAACAACTGTTCCCCCAACGAGCATTCTTTCATCTTCCTTTTCCCTGCCTGTGCTGCACTTTCCTCCCTTTCCCACGGCCAAATCCTTCATACCCGTCTTCTCAAATCTGGGTTTGGTCTCGATTGCTATGCGTTGACCGCTTTGCTCGATATGTATGCGAAACTGCTTATGTTACCGTCGGCTCGTAAATTGTTCGACGAAATGCGTGTGAGAAATGTGCCCACTTGGAACGCTTTGATTTCTGGGTATTCGAGGTGTGGGGATATGAATGAAGCTTTGGAATTATTTAAATCGATGCCGGAGAAGAATGTGGTTTCGTGGACCTCCATGATATCTGGTTATTCGCAGAACGGGCAATTTTCAAGAGCCTTGGATATGTTTCTAGAGATGGAGAACGAGAGGGGTGTTAAGCCGAATCGAGTGACCATTGCTAGTGTGCTTCCAGCTTGTGCAAGTCTTGGAGCGTTGGAGGTTGGGGAAAGGATCGAAGCTTATGCGAGAGAGAATGGATTGTTCGAGGATTTGTATGTTAGCAATTCTATCCTCGAAATGCATGCGAGGTGTGGTAAAATCGAAGTGGCGAAAAAGGTGTTCGATGAAATCGGCAAGAGGAGAAATTTGTGCTCTTGGAATTCAATGATCATGGCTCTTGCACTTCATGGAAAATCGATTGAAGCTCTCGAGTATTACGATCAAATGCTGGTTAGCATTTCCTTGTAATATTTTTGCATTCCTATTTAGTTCATTCTTTTTATATTTATGTCATTGATTGCAACAGCATGAAGGAACTGTACCAGATGATGTTACATTTGTTGGAGTTCTCTTAGCATGCACGCATGGAGGATTGGTGACGGAAGGACAAGAACTTTTCGAATCAATGCTGAGAAACTATAATATCAATCCTAAATTGGAGCATTATGGATGCATGGTTGATCTCCTAGGTCGGGCCGGAGCATTGCAGGAAGCTTATGATCTTATTAAAACCATGCCTATGAAGCCTGATGTGGTGGTTTGGGGATCTCTATTGGGAGCTTGCAGCTTCCATAACAATGTCGAACTAGCAGAAAAAGCAGCTCAACCTCTGTTTGAGCTCGAGCCATGGAATGCTGGAAACTACATTATTCTTTCTAATATATACGCATCTTTGGGCCGGTGGGATGGGGTTGCAAAGCTAAGGAAGATGATGAAAGGCGGCAGAATTACAAAGGCAGCCGGATATAGCTTCCTTGAAGAGGGAGGCGAAATGCATAAGTTTCTTGTGGAGGATAAATCTCATCCTAGATGTGATGAAATATATGAAATCTTACATAGGGTGTCAACGGTGATGAAGCTACAAGAGAAATTAATTAACTTTGAATCTGAACTTTTAATGATAATGGAGCAGGATATCTAAGTATTACAGACAAGGGTAAAATAAGTTATTTTAAAAAATATATAATTTAGTCGTTTAATTAAAATGATGTTACAAATATATCATTGTGTCGTTAAAATTGAAATAAACATTTAATGTGACATGATATAATAATAGTTTTAGACCTCAAGCCTTAAATATTATATTAATTTTGTCTTAAATCGAAATAATCCGTTAAACTTACTCGTACTTATTTAAAAATCCCACCAATTTATCTTTTTTAAGATACTGTCAAACCAAGAGACTTCTTTGGATTAAAGTAACACTTTGAGCCATATGGGAAGGTTCTTCATGTTCGCATTAGGCCGAACTTTGGGTTCGTGCAGTTTGGCTTTGATTCTTTATCAGTTTAGCTAATTAGTAGGATGTATTTGTCCTTGAAAATACTTGTGAAGAACGTGTAATGTGAACAGGGAAGTACTTGTCTGCAGGTCTTGGGTCTCAATTTCGATCATTAATCGTTTCATAATCTTTTTAATTAATAATCATCTTGCAGTACAACAAGACGAATATAACATCTTAGTGCTCCAATTTCATACAAGCATACCTTCGAAAAAACAAAAGAAGATGAAAAGGATCAAGCTGGTGATCTCTTTAGCTCTTGAATGATAGCTTCCTCGAGCCACGACTCAGCATCGCTAATCATTCCGGGGCTAAGCCTCACCATCAGGATGGAAAACTCGGTCTGGTTGAGTGCCCCATCTCCATCAAGATCACCTTCTCTGACCATATCTTGTGCTTCATCATTGCTCATCCCTTCCATACCTAAAAGTGCAGCGTTCATCCTTAGACTCTCGGGCGTTATCGACCCTGTGTTCTGATCAGCTAGAAGATGAAACCCTCCACATAATTCAAACACAAAAGCTTCTACGTCCAGCTTCTCGGCCATCACCGGTAACAAGTCCCTGTACTCGTACGTCGTCGTCGTAACTCCTCCCTCAATTCCCTCGTTTTCCATTCGAAACAAGCTAACAAAAAAGACAACACAGAGGTACAAAGATAGCTCGAGGTGAGCAGTGTGCACTTTGCATCAAATCGAATCGGGTTATATAAAGGAATAGTGTAGTCTTTATGAGCATCGAAAAGTTTATTCGCTTTCTCACATAAAGCATTTTGAGGGGATGATGTGACATTGGAGATCATATGGTTCCAAAACCATTGCTTACAATAATCAAACTTCTGTACACCGAATAATCTTTGGATTTAACCCTCATTGATATAATATTAGTATCACTATCAAAATTCAAAGAGATGAGTTTCTAGGAAGGTTCCTATGTTGGGGACGGCATCCGCTGTAAGTGACTCCTTTTCACATAATGGATTTGCTTAAATTGTCCAGTCTCGGCCTTTCTATGAAATTTCCCTACTCCTAACCCTCTCTCCTCAATTAAGATGATTTGATGGATTCTAATATATGGATTAGGCTACATCTACCTCAATTATTTGATCTTATAATAGTAATGATATCATATAATTTGTTAACGGTTGAGATAATTCATTTAATAAGTTTAGAATCAAAGTAAGCTGTACGTTTTTTTAACATTTATTCTATTCAGACACAAATATATCCGAGGTCCATTTACTTTGGGAGAACCAATGTGGTTCTCGTATTATTTTTCATTTTTCTCTCAATGTGACCCTCCAAATAATAAAACAAATTCAATGTGACACTTTGACCAACGTTTTTCCTTCATTGACCGTTACGGTACTGGCATGACAGTCACGGTGCTGACATGACAATCCATCAACCATGTTTGAGTTATTAATTTAGTTCATCTTTCATATCATCTGTCACGATAGCAACCACTGTGGACCGTCATGTTAATAGAACTGCCACGTTAGCATCGTAATAGTTACGACAAAAAACATTGGTCAAAGGGCTATATTGAGTTTATTTTCTGAGTTGGATGGCCACGTAGAGAGAAAAAATAATACGAGGGCCACATTGTTTTTTTAAAGTACAGGGACCTCTAATGCATTTGTACCTTTTATTCAAAACCATTTATAAAGAATTATATGAGAATTTTACGTTTAGAGAAGTATTGGATCTTGTGAAAACGAGTCCTTTTATAGAGGGTATTTTAGCACCTAATGATGCACATAGTGTTACACAAATCTCTCAAGTTTTCATGTCTATTTTGCTGGGAACAAGCTGCGGTGTAGATGCGAAGTTGAAGAGAACTTGGGTCACGTTCTTCTACACTGTGAAGTTGCAGTGTCTGTTTGACATCACTTTGGACTTGTTTTACCACAACATTCAGTTGCAGGTTTTATTCTGGCTGTCCTGGTTATGGGCAACTTCGATACTCGTAATAAGGTTACGGTCGTATCTTGGAGCATGTGTTATCATCGAAATTTGATTGTTTGGATGAATATTAATTCAACTGCAGCAAGAATCACTGGATTTGCGAGGAAAAATTTCAGAAAGAGTATGTTTCTTCTTTTCAATTATTATAATAACAATATATAACAAAATACTTTTAGCACAGTAGAGAGGTGTCGTGTTGTAGTTGGTTATCACGTCAAACACACTGAAGATCTCTGGTTTAAATCCGGGTGACGCCGGATGTGCTTATATTTTCAGATCATCAGCGCTTGTAGGACGAAGACAGTACCTATTTTCTATTGAACAATGTGATTATGATCTGAAAATCTGCTTCGATTCGAGAAATAGACTGTCATATACTTGCAGTCTCAACTCCCGTACACCAGAAATTAAGCTTTTGCTTTCGAATTTTTTGTCCACCATGATCGGATTGTCTATTTTCATGTCACATCCACTTCTTTCACTGGAATAAAGGAACCCCATTTGCCGATGATCAAGGAATTTACAATAGCTTGACCAGACAACGGGAAGCAGCTAACTCGGAACAGAGAGTTTTTAACTGCTGTACCTGTTGTACTGTAAGTCCTATATTATGTTTTACAGTTTTTATCCATCTTGCTGCTGGTGTTCTGTATCTCTGGATTTATGTCTGTATGCATGTGTCCGTTCTCCAGCATCGAGCATTGGATGCTGATGATGATGTTCTCTGTATTTGTCTATGTACGTGTGTTTCTTATCGAGCATTGGATGTTGCTTAAGGAGCCTCTCATTGTGTTTCCATAATCGGGGTAACGAACTATACGCATGGCTAGGGAAACAATTAGTCATACGGTTTTTCTGTATCTTGCTGATGATGTATTCATCTATTTTATCAAAATACAAAATTAAAACGTCAGTCTTTTTATTGTATTTTTTTCAAAATTTGATCCTCGTATTTTATAAAAACTAAAAACTTAGTCCGATTGAGTACATTCTGAACTTTGCATTTAAATCACTAACTGAATAATCTACAATTCAAAAAATTGTATGCAACAAAATATCAGTAGTTTACCAGAAGTCAACAGTTCATGTATTCATCAACAACTTGACTAATTTTCATAGAGTATAAGAACAAAATTACGATAAATTAAAGTATAAAGATTAACTTGTCGGTTTTTATAAGGTAAAGAGATCAAAATCATAATTAGACCTTTATATATTCTGGAAAAATAATGTAGTAGTCGTCTTCAACCCCAGCCAGTTGTCGTTATAGTCTTTGATTGCCATAAGATAGTTAAAGAAGAGACGTGATTCCAAACAAAAACTCCACATAGATTCGAGAAGCATAAAAGTAAATGGAGAGGGAGCCAAGGACATAGGATAGAGACCCTAATTTAATGAACAAAGATTTCGGTAATGATAAAGACAACAGCACAAATCCAAGCAAAGAAGGGAACACTGGGATTGACTTCCGGAGATGGAATGTTTCTGTACCAAATTTAAGTGTGGGGTAGCACCTTTGTCTTAAATTTCAAACCCCCCTTTTTTATTAAAAAAAATAAAATAAAAGAGTATTGGGAGTGCTTCTGATGTTTGGGGGCAAAGACCCGCCATTGAAATGGCCTTTTTATATACTATTAGGTAAGGTTTATAGTTGGAGCAGGTAAACCCGTTTTCTCTTTTTCTGAAAGAATCAAACCCCTCGGGCGGCCACCCATAAGTCCCGAGATTTCAACCGACCAACTAAAAATACGACCGCAACCGTAATTTGAATTCGTAGCTATTACCACTTTCACCCTCAAACCTACTCAGTGATAAATTCATTGAGGGTTGAGGGTACGTGCTACTCTTAAATTCGATTTTTTTCTGTATACTGTTAACCTATATGTGGCCACTCTCAAAATGATTTCTGAATCCGCCACTCAACCTAAGTGAATCAAATCAACAATGAACCATAACAATAATAATTAACATTGAGATTTTTAGGGTTCGACTAGGGTTTTTCAAATGGTATGTTTAGAAACTCCAAACTTTAAGTACAAAGTACAAACTTTAGAATCACATACAGAGGACTCTTTCATTGCAGCAACACTTCTGATAGCAGAATCCTTGGAAACAATTCTAGATTCACATAAAACATAGAAACTCTCAATTAAAAGCAAAACCCCAAATTGGATCCGATCTGCTTTTTACATTGTTCGTAGGAGAGAAAGGAGAATGAAAAGCAAAGAAAACCCCATCATTATATATATATCCTATGATAATGATCTGTTAGTTCTAGAATACTTTTAACAAGTAATGATCAAATCAACCATCTGGGAAAAAAAAGAGTGAAAGAAAAATTAAGGAAAAAGAAGTTCCTTGATCCTCCTCCTCCATTTCTTTTACCATGATCCTCCACGTAGCACTCCATTATTATTCCAATATCCAGCTGAATTGCTTTGTTCCTTGTTTTGATCATCGACTTCATTAGAGCTCGAAATGGGTTTCATTTCTCCAAAAGGGAAGAAAACCCTTCCACCATTATTCTCTTGACCACCATGGAGCACGCCAGAAGCCCTAGCTCCATCGATCGGAAAACTGAGTATCGGTTTATAGTCTTGCATGGGAAACTCGGTCGAGTAAAGCGCAGCCGAGTCTTGTGTCGGTGCCGGAACGAAAGAATTCAGCCCCTTTGATGATACCATCCCGGCCCTGAGGAGATCAATAGCTGAAGGCGAGTAGTAGTTTTGGTGGTCATTATAATGAGATAAACCTGAACCATGATGAGTCTCTTCCATAGCCGGGAAAGTCAGGTTAAGGTCCTGGCCTTTGTAGGCTGCTGCCTTAGGGTTTTGAGACGACAAAAAGTGTGGGAAACTCGTCGGGTTTAGATCTGGGACTTTGGCTGAAGTCGATGACGACGACGAGGTCGATATCGTCGTCGATCTTTTGTTCTTCCTCGAACCACCGCCGACCGGCACATTCCTCAAAGACCCGCCTTCGGTCCAGTACCTCCTGCAAGTCTTGCAGAAGTATCTCGGCTGCGTGAGGCTATAATTGTTGTAGTAACAGAACTTGGTGTTTGTGGAGTTGCACCTCGGGCAATTCAATTGCTCCGGTGGCCTTGCTTTTCTCTCTAGAACTGGCCCTCCCTTTGTGCATGTGTTGGGCACCATCTCCTCCATGGACTTCACCATGCCAATACTCTGAAAACCCTTTTGACATATAAAGAAAAAGAAGGCTGAGAGACAGCAATCATTTCACCAGCAACACAAAAGAATATCAGCTAATAATAATAACAAAGAAAACCTTTCTTCATCTCCTTAAAAGATGGGAAAACTGAAAAAAAGTGCAGGCTTTTTGGCGTTGGAAGAACAAGCCTAATCTTCAACTTACAGCAAAGGACTGATATTTGAACAATGATATTATGAAAAAACACTTGCAGCCTCTAAAAATAAATTAGAAATTGGTATATTTATTAGGCTCTAAAAAGCAAGAAAAAGAAAAGGAAAATCAGGATAAAATCACCTACCTGTGACCATTTATCAGCATCCATTAACTTCAGAAGAAGATAAAAAGAAAGGAAAAGGAACTCTGATGACTTCACAAAGGGGGAGAGAGAGAGAGAGAGAGAGAGAGAGCTAAAACCTCCTTTGTTTGTCTGCAACTGATGATCTCCTTTAGAGCAAGAAAGAATGTTTTTTAGACTATTTCTATGGTAGCTTTAGTTGGCTTTTCACTTTATGAATGATGGAGGGTTGGGCTTGTTTTGACTATTCATACCGTATAATTATGGACATCAAAATTCTGTTTTGATTTTATAATGACGAATATCAGCTGTTTTGATTTGAATGCGAGTGTGGGTGGAATTGTGAGTGTGCACTGTATTGTCCTTTGTTGGAAAAAAATTGTGATAATACCGGATATATTTACAACGGTATCTCATATTTTTAAAACGATTGAGTGATAAGTGAGAAATTAATGCTTAAAATAGGGTGTATAAGAATTATGTTGTGTAACGAAAATGAAAAAACACATATCTCATATTAGTGGTATATTAAGCAAAGAAATAATTTATATACATAAACCCACTTACTAGTTAATGAATGATTTAGGTTAAAATTGTATATCGTCGAACCCATCAGGGTTAGGGATGCACCCACACGATGTGGGTGATGCAAACGTTCAAATTGGTCGGGCCCTCTAGGAGCTTACAGATATTTTACCTACTACAAATTAAATATTTTCCTTAAGTATAGCTTATCTTTTTTAATATTCTGAATCAAAAAGAAAATTATGTGATTTCCTTTTAATTTAAATATTAAATATAGTATGACTTGCAATTCACTACGAATTAAATATTTTCCTTAAGTGAAGTTTATCTTTTTTAATAGTCTGAATTAAAAAGAAAATAATGCGATTTCCTTTTAATTTAAATATTAAATATAGTATGACTTGTAATTCACGAATGTATTCGATATGATACGGTTCTAATTGATTATTTTCGATTTTATTCGGATGCTAATTAACAACTAAATTTTATTCGGACACTATAAATACTATGCTAACCTACTAGGTTAAACACGGTTCAAAAACTCTCTTCTTCCTCTCTTCTTTTCGATGATAGCCTCTAGCAAGATTTGGTTCGTGATCTCGAAAGTTTTGCTACTATGTGCTGATTATATCATTGTTGTATCATGGGAGACGAGTTACCAATATATCTCGAGCACCAATGAGTGACCGAAAATATGTTTTAAGGAAACTGCGTTGTTGCAGGCCTCAACCTAATTCAAGTTCGATATCTTGTTATTGTTCGGGTTATTTACTCTAATAGGTTTCTTCTACTTTATTAATAAAATTTAATTTGTTTTTATTTTATTTTCGTCTCGAATTGTATAACAGTCTTTCAAGACCTTACAAATGTAAACACTCTTTTCTTTTGCTTTCTTCTCTCTTTCCTATTCTTATCACTCGTATTTGAAAAGCTCATGTCCAAAGAATATGAGATTTTAGCTAGGCATGCTAATTTTGAACTATCAAAAATAAATTCTAAACTTGATCAAATTCAGCAACCGAACTTTATTAATTATCTTATGAAATACTCGATATTTCAATATCAAAAATTGTATTTGATTATTGTATTGATATGAGTCTGATCAAATTCGATATCCGCATCTACAGCTCAAAATCAATAAGTTTGGTTACGATTTTTTTATTGAAGTAATTAGTTTTATTCAAAATATGAAATATTCTAAATTACAATAAAGATTTTCAACCACAATAGTAGATTAAACACATAATTAAGAAAATTTTCTATAATCATTGAAACAAAACTAACAACTTAAGATCGCATAAGGATCATACAAGTAAAGATTAAATTTAACCAAGAAACTTGAACAAAGATAGATACAAACAGATCTGATCGCATCAACAAACAAACTACAAAAGGGGATCAAACTATTGAAAGACCACATATATACCTCAAATTAGACTCGAGCGACATGAAAAACTATACACGAAAACAAACATTTTCTCTGCCTTTTGCCTTTTTTTTAATTTTTAATAATAAAAAAACTTACGTCTTTATAACATGTTCTCTGCCTTTATAGCACGTTTATCTATGTCTTTATGGCACATTTTTCTCTACCTTTTAGTAGCTTACGGTTTTTTACCATTATTTTTGTTTATCTTTTTTCTCAGGGTTGGATTTGACATCAACACGATTAATCAAGATGACACTTATTTGTTATTATGTTGATCTACCCTGCTTTGGACCCTTGGATTGATTTGGATACGCGTTTTGCATTCGTGGATAGTTTTCTCATGTCGTTTGACTCTGATTTACTATTCGTCGGTGGTCTACAGTAGCTTCATTTCTTTTTGTGGTTTGTTTAATGATGCAGTCATATTTGTTTGTATCTTTATTTTGTTTGAGCATTAGTTAGATATTTTACTCTCTTTTTTTTTGTCCTTGTGTGATCTAGGTGATTAGTTTTTTGTCAATAATTATAAGAAAATGTCATAATTATAGTTTCGTTTATGTTTACTGTTATGTTTGTAAATTTTCATTGTAATTCTAGATATATTCTATTTTTAATAAAGTTAGCAGTTTTCTATAAAAAATATTTTCCCCAAAAATATATCTCATATGACACATTTTACTAAAATTGTGACAATTTGAGAATTAATATGCAATGAGTGATTAATTCTTAAATTATTTTTTAGGTGATATTTAGATAAAATTATTATTTTATTATTAGTATATGATTAAATCGATTAATTAAGTTGATTTCTTTACACATCATTCATTAAATTTCACCGTGCTTACAAAACAAACATAAAAGAATATTAAAAATATAATAAGTAATAATTAAAAATGATCCAACGTAGAAAAAAGTAATTCCAAATATAAGATATACCAAAATTCATATAAATACGAGTTTTTGAACAATAGTTATAATATACGTAGAAAAAATAAGGGTTAACTATATGGATGATCACTTATGTTTTTGTTTTGTTCATTTTTAGTCATTGATTTCAAAATACATAAGATGTGTTCACCACGAGTTAACTGTTGTTAAATATTTTGGTATAATCACACATTGTGTTCATGTTATTTACATATTATCTCAATGTAGTCATACTTTAATAAATTAAAATAAATTTAATCATCAAATCGAATGATATCACTATCATTGGTACTATGTATCGTGTCGTGTGTCACCATTCAGTTAGAAGACTAATTTTATTTTATTTTAATTTATTTTAAGCAAATCGGTAGAAAATATATATATTAAATTAAAATAAAATTAGTCATTCAACTTAATGATGACACGCGGTATGATACATGCCACCAATAACACGTGACATCATTAAATTGGAGGATTAAATTTATTTTAATTTTTGGTGACTACATTTTAAATAAATAAAAAATAAAAGTGATAATATCTTAATTAAATAAAAATTAAGATGATAATATCTTATATATTTTTAAATCAGTGATAAAAAAGTAAACAAAGTAAAAACACATATAATCATCCAAAAAAAATAAACAAGAGAATGGACCACAAGATGAGAAATTGATGATATTTACACACCTGTGGTGTTAACTTGTCAAAAAGATGATCTTCGCTGGTTCTACTTTTTCATGTGATCTTGAAACTAGTTCCTCCAGTTTGCTTGCAGTTAAAGTCATCTATGTTTCGCCCATTTCTAAGTCAACATTTTCTATTTATCTAAATTGTAAAATAAAAATTAGTTAAATTTATTTATTTTTAAGTTGTCACCTCGATTCTAAGGCTTTATCTTGAGTAATTCAAATTGACCCATGTTGCACAATTAATTTTGACGGATAAGTTTCTTTAGTAAGGATTTTTTTTACATACCTAAACCTTATCGATAAATATTTCCTTAATGTTAAGTATAGGAATGGCAACGGGTCGGGTTCGGGGCGGGTTTTGCTCGCCCCGTCCCTGAACCCAAAATGAATCACCATCCCCAACCCCGACCTCGACGGGTTTTTTTTCGAGGTGCCCCGTCGGGGATTTTTTTGCTCCGTCCCCGAACCCGACCCAAAATATTATACTCAAACCCGAACCCGAACCCGAAAATATTTTATATGTAATTAATATAAAATATATAAAATATTATATATATAATTAATATAAAAATATAAAATATATATATATATATATATATAATCGGGGTGGGGCGGGACGGGGATACCTTATCCCGAACCCGACCCGAAAAAATCTCCAAAAAAAATCTCCAAACCCTAACCCGACCCAATATCATTCAACCCGACCCGAACTTAACCGAATTTCGAATTTCCCGTCGGATTCGGATCATACTACCATCCCTAATTAAGTACAAAGAATAAAGTACAATCAACATCAATTGCTATATTTCCTAAATATTAAGTAGTTGAGAAATAGAAATAAGTTTTCAATCAAAAAATTTAGCATTGGAATGAGAAGAGTTCAACCTTCAAAAGAAAGGGGGAGAAAAGGGATCAAATTCAAAAGAAGGGTGGTTAGTGTAAAGAAGGGCATTGAGAGGGTCGAGCCGACAAAAGGAAACGTGGGACCCAGATAATGCGATATAGGTCATAGGATGAAGAAGATAGGTTGTTGTTGTTTTTTTAATGGTTGAGGGTGACATTTTTGGCTTCAAATTATTCGAAAACAGCCAGACTCAGAATCCCAGTAACACCCCAGTTGAACCCCGAAACCCCCTCGCATTTTCCTCCCACCTTTCTCATTAATGCTTCTGCTTTATGCTTTGACACCCCTAATCAACCATTCTGCTCAAAATCACACTTGTTAGTATTTAAACTATCCGTTACCATCGGTTTTGATCCGTTTTAATATCAAAAAAATTAAGAGTTTATGTATTAAAATGAATCATAATTGACGTAAATTTACCCTAATATATATATGTGGTTAATTATCTTTTATCTTAGATTGTTCAAAATTTGGCAAAGACTTCAATTTGATTAGTGTTTTCTAAGAACAAAATGATGAATTGGAAGGAGGAAGTGCTGTTTTTTTTAAACACACAATTATTGGAGAAGAAGGCTTTTTATGTCTCCCAGAGAAGATAAAATTTGAGTGTGCGATCCAACCAAACACAATCAATCCGTAGGTAAAAGCACTTTCTAGTTTCAGGAGTGGGGGAAGCAACTTTGTTTAATTACTTTCTCTTGTTCATGAAAAATAGTTTGGATAAACAATCTAAACCCTTATGAAATTATTATTTATACTTCTTAATAGTCATTGATTTTTTAAAATGTTTGTCTTTTAATCATTGGTTTTAACATTTATATAAGAATTATTAAATTTAAAGAATGTATTTGTTTCGATCACACAACTAATTATTATGTTCAAAACTCGCCATTTTCAAGTAAAAAGTGGACGATATTATAAGCTAAACGTTTACATGCTAATTGTGATATGATTAAATGTAATCTTAGAATCTCAAACGACTATCATATCTCAGTCATCTTACAAATATTCAACTTAAAAATATGTTATTTTTTAACGAAAAAGGGACGAGTTTAAACCATAATGAATAGTTGAGGGATCATCTTGCAACTTTTAATAGTTGAGAGACTTAACAAAATAACGTTTTATAGTCGAATAATCACTTTATAACTTTTAATAATCGACAGACTTAATAAAACACTATTGTATTACCAATGAATGTACTTTACAGTGGCAGATGCACTAAGCCGCCTAGGGGGCCAAATACATCCTATTATTTTGAGAAATTGGTTAAATCTAGTGTAATGTGATAAGGAAAAAAATAAAGAATTTTGTAAAAAAAAGAAAAAAAAACGTACATCCATTATTTTTAAGAAATAAATATTAAAATTTTAGACCGTTATTTTTAAATTTTTGGATCCCTCACAACTATACCCTAATAAATAGTGATGAAAATGAAAATATTATTTTAATTTTGTTGATTCCAATGTACCCGGTGTTGTAAACGTCATTCTCCTTTCTTTCTCGACCGTCCATTCAATTTACTCCACCACTTGTTTAATCTTATACCGGTTGTGTTTCACATGATATTTTCCCTTATTAAAAAAAAGAAGGTAAAATATAAATTTAGTACCTAAATTATTAATTTTGATCTATTTTAATACCTAAATTTTCTATTTTTTCAAAATTATATATAACGTTTAGTTTTCATTTCATTTTAATATATTGCCGTTAAAAACTTAACGCGTTTAGTACTAAACTATCAGTTTCGGTTTGTTTAGTACCTAAATTTTCAATCTTTTTAAAACTTAACGTCAAATTTTGAACAGGGTACTAAAAATGAAACAAAAACTAAAGTTTTTAATGTCGTGTTATTAATATGAAACAAAACTAAACATTATATGGTTTTAAAAAAAATTGAAAATTTAGATACTAAAATAGACCAACAATAATAGTTTATGTACTAAATACATAAATTTTCTAAAAAAATAAAACTATTGAGAGACCAGTTTTAGCTTCACTTTTTAGGGTTGTTGGTCGAAACATACATATACAAGTCGCAAACTTGGAAATAGTTCGAGCATTTGTTGGATGCAATGTCTTTTTCTTCGGGCGAATAATAATGATATTGCCACGGAGGGACGCAATGATGGCACATCCGAACTCCGTACAAACTGGGACGGATGTTAAATTTTATGTTAGGTAACAAATTTAAATTTTTAATTTGAATTTTTAAAATTTTAAAGCGTTGACTTAGATTCGTTAAATTTTAAGGGAAAAAAATAATTTTTTAATAGAAAATACAGAGGAAATAATCTAAAGGGTGAGTCAAGATTCAACCACTTTTGTTTGCTTCAAACGTGGAGCTACACTAATCATCTGATCATCGTACTTTGTGAAAATTGAAGAGTTAATTTAGTTAATTACATTATTAAAAATGTAATTAAATTGTAAAAGAATAAAATGCAAAATTAGATACAATATTGTAAATATGCTTTGGACAAGAAAACAATAGACCCGTTAGAATCCATTTCTATTATTATCCCATTGACATTAGAGACAGGTTAAAGATCTTCAATGACTTGAGCCTGATTCCTTTACTTTCAATTTGGGCCCAAGTTTAAGAGCTCCCCTATGTAAGAAAAAAACACTGTTTTTGTAGTAATAAACAGAACAACTAATTAGATTTAGAATTTGTCAAAAAAAAAATGCATTCAAAGTGAATTCTTTATATATAGGTAGGGATGACAAAGAGCGGATCGGGATTAGATCTAGCTAGATCTAGATCCAGACCCGTTTACATCTTGGATTCAGACTTGCCCGGTCCGCGAGTCTAGAAAATTGGAACCTAGATCCAGATACAACGGATCACACGAATCCGGGTCTGAAATGGGTATGTTAAAAAAAGACCATTCAATATATTTTTAACGTAATTAAACTGTCATTGACTAATTTCACATCACATCTTCGATGGAGGAAAGATTAATTTTAATAAACTAGTAACAAAATAAAAAAATGATAAACTAAAGTCTAAAAAAAACTCCAACACAATTACATAAATATCTTTTGAATAACACAAACATTAAAAATTGTAGATCATGAAACATTTTATTGTCGCAAGCTGAGTATCACACTTTTACCTCCTTAAAGTGTCAGTTTTCATCACTACTTAAACCATCAACATCATGAAACAAACAACCAACCAAAGAGAACAAATCATCATTTATATATATTTTAAAACCAAATGTGGGTTTTTTCTGTAAACAGTCTAGACCCGATATCTTAATGTCAGATTCGGACCCCTGTCCGTACTTTAATCAGATGATCCAGATTTGATCAGGATCTGTCGTGTTCAAAATTTTAGGATCTAGACCCTATAAAATAGAATTGGATCAACATATTCGAGTCGGGTCTAGGATCCATTGTCATCCCTATATATACAGGTATACAAAGTAGATACTTGAATATGAATACTCAAATTTTTATTGAAATTAATTTTTATTGAATTAGAATTTTAATTAATAAATCAATGAATTATTAACTTTTAATTGACTGTTTAAATATTGATTTAAAATTTAAATATAGATTTAAAATTTAAATATAGATTTAAAATTTAAATATAGATTATATTCATTTTGATTGAGCTTTTTTTTCGTATGTTAATATATATACATTGTAAATATTATGGCGTACCAAATATTGGGCTACATTTATGATATCAAGCGCCGGTTACAGTCGCACTTTCCAGGTGATGGACGGCTGTGATTAATCAGCTGCCTTGGTATGTATAATTGAACGTTGAGAAGGGCAGATAGCCTGGTAGAAAGGTTGTTGAGTTTAAAAACTGGCCTCTAAAAACATGTTAAATTATAAATAAATCCTAAAATTTTTATAATTTCGATTTTGGTCGGTGCAAATATGCATGCCACCGTGGACATTGCCAGCAGACCGGCGGGTCTAATGACTTATGGGTACTTTCGGTTTATCAATTTATCGGTTTAAATAGAGATATATTTTATCAAGTCGTTTAAGATTATAAAACGGATAAAAAAAATTTATATCACGTTTTTTTAATGTTATTTTATTTTTAATGATTTAAATTTAAATTTCTGATTAAGTTAAAATAATTTTTATATATGTTAACCCGAACGTTTAATATTTTTTAAACGGTATGATATTAATTTAAAGGGTAAAGTACACAATTGATCCTCTGACTATATTGTATTATTTTGTTGAGTCATTCGACTGTTAAAAGCTACAAAATAATCCTCCGATAATAGGACATTGCTTTGATGATTCACTCGATTATTAAAAAATGCAAAATGGTCATCCGACTATTTATATGTTCTAAATTCATTATTTTTCGTTAAATTTGGCAGTCGTCAGAATTGGACATTAACATTAGGATATGATATTTTATTGAGATTCTATGATCAAATTTTATTATATCTCATTCAACAGGTTAATGTCCAACTAAAATTGCAATTAACTTTTAAATGAAAAATGACGAGTTTGAAACATATGGATAGTCAAATGATTATTTTATAACTTTTAATAATCGAAAGACTCAACAACGCAACACTCCATAGTCGAGTGACCATTTTATAACTTTTAAAAATCAAGAGACTCAACAAAGTAAGACCATATAGTCATGAGATCAATTGTGTATTTTATCCTAATTTAAAATGAACATGCAAACCACGAAGTTGGGAAAATGTTAGAGGGAAGATTGGATTTCAAAACTTATAAGAGATATGCGGCTAAATTTCACCATTTTATTAACTAGAAACCTTTTGATTTCGATATCAAAAACTCACTTTCACTAAACTAGGCGGGTCATAGAGAAATTTCACCATGTTTTCATCTAAAACTTGTATAATTTATGGGCTAAAATAATAATTTTACCAAAGCAAGAGATGGGACAAATTATATGGCATGTTCATACCTTCTTTGTTGGATACTTCGTTAAGAGGACAAATTATTCAAGATTAAATTTAAGATATAATATCAATCATGATTAAAATTATGTTATTTTTTAATACGCCACAAGTTTAATTAATTTGCATAATATTTTTTTCTTTTAATTATTAGTATCGTATTCCGTCATACAATTAATTGATAAAAGCTTTGAGCATATTTAAACACGTGAAGTTTCTTTATAAAATTTTAATATAAATATTGGCGTGTTTTTAACGGTTTTAAAAAGGCCTAAGCCGAAGCTTTGGGAATCGCGCTCCTTATAGCATCGTCTCCCACATCTCTTCTGGTTCTCTTTGTGTTTCCCTCATCTGTTTCAATGTTTGAACAGTAAGCGAAACCAAAGAAGAAAGAAAACAATAATAATAATAATAATACAGAGAGATGGGAAGAGCTCCTTGTTGTTCTAAAGTAGGGTTGCATAAAGGTCCATGGACTCCCACGGAAGACACGTTGCTCGTCAACTACATTCAAGCTCACGGTGAAGGTCACTGGAGATCCCTCCCTAAGAAAGCAGGTACCAGATTTTCATGTTCGCGAGTTTTGTTTGAGTTGAATTAAGTGCTCCGTGATTCGTGTGATTCGAGTTTGTTTGAGTTGAATTTGCTGCCAGGGCTGCTTAGGTGTGGAAAGAGTTGCAGGCTGAGATGGATGAACTATCTAAGACCAGATATCAAGAGAGGAAACATAACACCCGAAGAGGATGATCTCATCATCAGATTGCATTCTCTTCTCGGAAACCGCTGGTCTCTCATCGCCGGACGGCTCCCTGGTCGAACCGATAACGAGATTAAGAATTACTGGAACACCCATCTCAGCAAACGTCTTTTGAGCCAAGGGACAGATCCCAACACCCACAAGAGATATATAGAAGTGACTGGTTGTTTATTAATTTGGTATCAATATAAATGTTCACAACCGGCAAGTTAGGAGAATTATGGGAAACGAATAATGATACTTAATAACCATTACCCACGTCTTATAGTCGTAAACAATTTGATATCAATTAAATAATGTTTCGAGTTCGAGTTTTTATGTATATAGAAAATTCCTGTTGAGATACTCACCCACCAAAATCAGATATGCGACACGAGTCGGTCTGGATTAATCAGAATAAAACCCTAGAATCGGAAGGGCAACAAAAAAAACTTATCAATTGTTCAAAACAATAAGAGATATATAGAAGTGACCGGTTGTTTATTAATTTTTTCTTAATCATTTGACAATGAACGCTCAATCACTCTAAAATCGTTAGTGCTTGAACTCGCAACCTCTAGAAACAATAATGATTCCTTTAATATTTGAGATAATTTGGTTCATGCCGTTTATTTACTAATCATTAGATTCAATTATTTGCTAGTTTTGTTTGCTAATGGTTGCCCTATGGTATCAAGATTTTGCCTTAATTAATCCACACCGACCCGCGTCACACACCTGGCTTTGTTGAGTGGGTCTCCCAGCATAAATTTTCCGCATACACAAGGACTCGAACTCGAGACATTGCTTAAGTGATATCAAGATGCTTACCACTTGAACCAGCCTCTATTGGTAGTAGAATTTAATATTCAGAGGATTGAATTATTAAACTTGTAATTATTCAATGAAGACAATTATAATTTTATATTTTCACAATGCGTTTCAAAAAAAAATGAAGTCCAACCATATAATAAATATATAAATATAATCAAGTACAATCATAACAATATATATATTATAAAATATGAAAAATGTCATGATTATGATAAAATATACTAATATGTTTAAATAAATGTAGTAGAAATATAACAATTTCAAGTTTCCTAATGGCACCTTAAACATAATAATAACAAAAAAAACACACACATATATATATATATATTAGGTATGGATAAGCAATCAAAGGTGCATGGATGGTAATGTATCACAGTGCTCTGTTCTTTTAAAATTTTGAAAAGCTAATATTCGATTTCTTTAATTTGATCTTTTATTTTTTTTTCTTTATAAAAAATCTCAGAAAAATTAATTTATTTGGGTCTTTTTAGTTAAATCTTCTTTTGAATTTTTAAAATTTCTTATTAAAAAAATAATTCAATTTAAAAAAGTGCAAGTAATTTCCTCAATTTTGTTTTTGTCAAAATCTGTCAATGGAACCAATCCATTATACTCCATGTTTAAATAGATTAAAGAAGCATTAGCGTTCTAAATATAACATCGGTTCTTTAAATTAGCCATCAATGCAATTAATTACTTGATTACTACTATGCACGTGCTTTATATCGTATACTATTGATTTACGTATTGAAATACAATCCCACTGGCAAGTGTGCTGTTGAATCTCCAGAGTTGAAGTTCAATTTTTCAGAAAAAGAAGCCTAAAAAGGTGGTTCAATGGAGGAAGCAATAATTTTATGTCAGAGAGGTTATAAAGTGGTTTTAGGGTTTATAAAGATTAACTCCCAATCCCAAAGTTAAATTTCTTTGCTAAAATCTTCTTGTGTTTTGAGACTATTAAAACAAAACCCGAAGCAAGTGAAGTCCTCTATTAGAGTTCATAACTTAAATTGTGTTATACATTGGTCATAAAAATTTAGGTACAATGCTAAAATTAGCGGCCGCCGTTTATCGAAATGATCATTTTGGTTTTATTATTTTTTTTGGGAGCATTTTGACCCATAGCGTTTTACTTTGGGCAAAAAGTTTCATCTATAGAAAGAAAATATAAGTTAACACATGACTAACGCTCTAAGATAGAGACTTTTTAACCTAAAATAAAACGTTGAAAACTAAAATGTTCTAGAAAAAAAGAATAAAGTTCAAAGTGATTATTCTGTTAATGTTAGGAGCATTTTTGCATGAAACGTCTTCTAAAAATAAAATAGGGGGCAAAATAATCATTTTGATAAACGTTAGGGCTAGTTTTAGTATTATACCAAAATTTGTTGTACGACTTGTTTAGTGAAAAAGTAAATTGAAATCTATATATATATATATATATATATATATATATATATATATATATATATATATATATATATATATATATATATATATATATTTAAACGACTTGCATAATAAAATTTTCATGATTTTTCTCGTTTAATTTCCCCCCACATAAATGATAGATTATTATTTTACAATCTCATTTTCTAATTATCGTTTTTTCGTAATAAAATTTCATGTTAAATTTAAACGAATCCATAATAGGGTAAAACAAAAAATTCTCAATTTCAATTAAAGAAAAGGAAAAGAAAAACATTCTCGTGAAGGAAAATTCTTTAGAAAAATAAAAAAAATAAAGAAACTATAAAGAATACATTCTCTTTTCTTGCAGGTAACAGTTATGCCTGGAACGAATTAAAAGACAAGACATGTTTGAAAATTAATATACGTATATATACGTGTCTTGGCAGACAATATGAACAAAAAGGCAACGTCAATGTGAAAGCTATGTTTATGCATTTTAGGGAACAAATTGATTCACACCCTACCATTGAGATACAGGGGTACATAACTAGAATGGCAAAGAAATCAACGTCCGTCCTTGTTAATATTTATTTTACATTTATGTGACGTAAGTTTCATTATTCGACTTATTCTTTTTTATTAATATTAATTTGGAGTGACTAAAAGGTAGCATCTGCTCAAAGTTAACTCTCAATCATTTGACGTTGAACGCTCATACTTTTGGCATTCCCAGTGTTCAAACGTAGGACCTCAAGAAATAATAATAATTCATTTACCATCGAAGTCGTTAAATTAGAATAGTATAAGTTTAATAGTGAAATCTAAATTAGAATTGTTTTTCTTTTAATTTCATAAATTTTATACGTCCTATGAAATCTACGTTTAAAATTCACGCCACAAAACATAGAATATATATTTTTTGTGATGTGGATTTTCATATTTAGAAACACATTTAATAGAATTAATCAAGCGAATTTAGTTCTAAAAGTAAGTATTATTTTTTTAGAAGTTTCGAGTTTGAATAATTATGTTTACAATGTATGTATGTTATTAATAACTAAGAAAGATTTGAAATAAATATTAAATTGTAATCAACTCGTAATATTAGGGAGGAGAGAGAGAGGAACATACCTAATAATAACGATTTTTTTTATCGAAGCACAAATAACTCAATGTTAATAAACATAATGATCATGAACATGCCACAATAATCCAAAAAAAAATCTATGACTATTCATTTGAAGAATGATTTGTTACTCGATTAAATTTTTTATCTTTTCCTTTTAATAACGTCATATAATTATATCAACGATTTTAATAATAAATCAATTTCGAATAACTAATTCCATAAGAATTGAATATAAAACCTCAAAATGTTTAGGGAAAAAAGTAAAAAGTCCTTGTATTTTTAAAAAAAATAATATATTCCTCGTATTATTTATTCTCTCGATGTTACCCTTAAACTCAGAAAATGAACTTAATATGACATTTTGACCAACATTTTTCATCGTTGATTGTTACGATACTGACGTGACGGTCCACGATGCTGATGTACCAGTACATCTATCATGTTTGAGTTGTCAATTTAGTTCATTTGCCATGTTATCCGCCACGTATCAACTACCGTAGTCTGCCACGTCAGTACAATAAATTGTCACGTTAACATCGTAACAGTCAACGATAAAATATTGGTTCTTAGATCATTTTTTATTTATTTTTTTCTAAGGGTTGATTTGATATCGCCACGACTGATAAAGATGACGCTTATCTGATATCTTGATGATCTTCCTTGCTTTAGACTCTCGGATTATATTTGTATACATGATTTGCGTTCGTTGATAGCTTTTCACATCACTCGAGTCTGATTTACTGTTTGTTCGTATTCTTTCAATAGCTTGATCCCTTTTCTAGTTCGTTTGCGTATGCGATCAGATCTGTTTATATCTATTTTGTTCAAGTTTCTTGGTTAAATTTAATCTTTACTTGTATGGTCCTCATGTGATCTTAAATTGATAATTTTGTTTCAATAATTATAGGAAATTTTTACTAATTATATGTTTAATTTACGATTGTGATTGTAAATTTTTATTATAATTTGATATATTTCTTATTTTAAATAAAATTAATTATTTCTATAAAAAAATATTTAACATTATAAGTCAATGGTATTCCTCATTATTGATCAATCTCATTCCCTCCGATATGCTGCTGCTTATATTATTGCAATCAAGCTAAGAGCTGGGGTTAATCGCTTTTAAGTTATCTGAACGTTCATTAATGGGGTTTTATTCTATAACAACTATTAGAAATTACAAAATGACTAATTGATTATAGTGTATTGCTTTGTTGAGTTCCCCGACAATTAAAAGTTACAAAATGATCACTTGACTATTTATGTGTTTCAAACTAGTCATTTTCTGTTGAAATTTGACGGCAGACTGAGCTGGACGTTAACCTCTTGAATGTGACATGATAAAACCTAATCCCAAAATCTCAAACGACTATCATATCTCAATAAACATGTTAACGTTCAGCTCAGACTGTCATGAATTTTCTAATGAAAAATGATGAGTTTAAAACATATGATTAGTTGGGATGATCATTTTGTAACTACATATGATTAGTTTGAGTGATCATTTTGTAACTTTTTATAGTTAAGGGATTCAACAAAACAAAACCCTATAGTTAATGGATCATTTTTGTAATTTTTAATAGTTGGGGTTCTTAATAAAATAATATCCTTCGGATGACCATTCGTGTATTTTACCCTTATTACTAATGCTTTGATAAACATCAAGTTCGAATCTTGTCAGAAGTTTCATCTGAAAAATGATTCGCGAGTATTATTGTTAATTCTTGTGATATCTCAACTAAACTCAAGTAATAAATGAGAAAATTCAGAGGAGAAAAAAAGAACGATGTAATTAATATGAGTTAGTTCAAGTGATAAGTAGTTTGATATCGTTTAAGTAATATCTTGAGTTCAAGTTTTTGTATATGCAGAAAATTCTTGATGGAAAATTCACCCTTCATAATTAGATGTACAATGCGAATCGATCCAAATTTACTAAGGTAAAGCTTTAAATCAGGGAGGGGAAAAAAAAAAGGAACGATGTAGGTTGGTATAGCAGTTTAGGCCTATAAGGTTTCAAAGATTTCGTGCTTTGATCACCATCCCTTATTCCATTGAAAAACATAAAATAAATGAACTCTGCGCATCAGAGTTAAATTTGGGCTAGGGAGGATGACGCTTGCACATGGTTTTCTTATAGGGTAAATTATAAATTTGGTAACTAATTTTTATTCTCTCTCTTCTATTTTATCATTATACTTTAAATCTTTTCAATTTCCTTGCTGAACTTAATACATTGGGTGTTTTTGGTCACTCTCCCGATAAATAGTTAACGGCGTTAAAATGAGTTGTTATATAGATGCAAAACAACTTCGTTTTGGTTGAAATTTTGTTTTTATAAAACGGCATCGTTTTTTAATGCCGTTAACTATTTAATGGCGGAGTGACCAAATATGAGAGAGAATAAAGTTCAGTGACAAGAAAAACCCAATTTATTATGTTCAGTGAGGTAATTGAAATTTATTAAAGTTTAGTGAATAAAATAGGAGAGAGAGTAAAGTTTAGTGATGAAATTTGTAATTTACCCTTTTATGTCCAAAGTAAATTTGATGGGTCAATTCATAAACAATCAATAGTAAATGAATCCATATGGTTAGCTATCCTGTTGATTTTGACCGTTAGATGGATTGCTTACCATTTCCCTTTTATTCACTTTTGTTTATGACAATGGAGTGAAGGATGGATGCAACCCTTTTCAAAAAATTAAACAATTGGTGTAATTTCGTTAGATTGATGTAATTTCGTCCAGAAATAGGCGTCGTCTCTAAAATTAACACATTAACCAGACCCCTAAACATGGCGCAACAATCAAATTAATATGTAATTAGCATGAATGTAGTACTGCTCATAGTCCTTACAAAGATTTCAAAGTCGAGTACCATACCTGGATTGTCTGCAACAAATCTAATTACGGCCCATCCTTCTACCGGGACTCCGATGGCGTCCGTATAAGGTGGATCGATCAAGTTAAAGTTTGCACTACTCGGATTACAGTTCCGGGTACCGTATCCGACGATGTAGAAACTGCAGCGGTGACGATGGATCGGGTGGTTTCGGCGGTGACCGTGTTAGTGTCTTGGAAGATATATTGAACACTCCGCTTCCGAATTCGAGTACTTTGGTCCTTGTTCCATTGATGGCCTGTGTGTTATTCGAGTGATAAAAAAATTGATATTTTTTTAGTAACATTTCAGATTCGAATCGAGAAAACGGGATTACAAACTTACAAACCTCCCACTGTCCATGATATGATTGGCCTGTCTCGACATTTATTGCTACTAATACATACAAGACAACAGTCTTGAATCTTTCTCATATTGAAATGTTTTTACATGCACAATTCATAATTGCAGCAATACTTGGCTCTAAATTACATTTGATTGGTCATTTTCATTCACAGTAAAAGTATATCAAATCGGCTTTAAATGGATTGGAAATTTCAGAAGTCAGCCCCAGTATACCTATCCTTCTTTTCCCTCTTGCTCCATGGAACCACTTGCTTTAAGCCTTCATAGATGCTTGCCTGTCGTGTTCCACGCAACAATTCAAACAACTTTCCAGGATGAATATTTAGAACAAATCAAAAGGCAGGGACTTAAATGTGAAATAAACAGATTGAGGCAGGCGCCTACAATTTCAGAAAATTTTCTTTTGGTGCACACTTAATTTCTCTATGAAGGAAAGGATGAGTTATTCTGTATGCAAAATATCGAAGTAACTAAGTTGTCTAATTATGGTATTAGACCCTCCGCTATGTTAAATCAATGATATATTCTCTTTAATTTGACACAATTTGGTCCTAGTACTACTATAATGTTGTTAGTAGATCCAAAATTATAATACCAAAGTGATGGTCTGAATTTTTCTCTGTGTATGAATCATAGTGTCTGAGCATATAGACTAATATGTAGTGTCTTTTCCTATCAAATATTTAATGTTGCTGCATTTCCAAGTACTCAGGTTTTAGACCTGGGTTAATCTAAAACCAAGCCTTTTGTGATATTTAGGGATTGACACATGATTTTATATTAGCGTGCAAACATATAAAATTTTAGGTAGAGATAATAAATTATCAAAAGAAAACAAAATTTTAAGGACGATTGCTCCAACCGTCCGCCTCTCCTTAGGTTCCTCTATTATGATATTGCATTACTTAAAAAAAAGGTAAAGTACACAAATGGTTCCTCAATTATAAGATATTATTTTATTGAGTCTCCCAACTATTAAAAATTATAAATGATCCTCAACTATAAGATGTTGCTTTGTTGAGTCCCTTGACTATTAAAAGTCACAAAACGGTTACCTAACTGTTCATTATATTCCAAACTCATCATTTTTCGTTCAAAAATTAACGATAGTTTGAGTTGGATGTTAATCTGTTGTATGGGTTATGATAATCGTTTGAGATTATCGAATAAGATTTTAAAATTATCTCAGATAGTATATTAACATTCAGCTCAGATTGTCGTCATTTTTTTAAGGAAAATGACAAATTTAGAATATAATAAATAACCAAATGATAATTTTGTAATTTTTAATAATCGATGGACTAAATAAAATAACATCTTATAATTAGAAAATCATTTTATAAATTTTGACGGTGAAGTCTCAACAAACTAAATACCTTTAGTTGATACCATTTGTAAACTGTATCAAGAAAAGAAAAGACTAAAACAGAGAGATACATACCCAGAAATGGGATTTGGACGGAGGGAGATTATTGAAGCTGCCCTTCTTTCTCATCCTGGTGATACTAAAGTCACTGTATTCTTCTCCTTTTTCTCCATGAGAAGGGAACACATAATTCTTACCCCCAACATCGCTTCTCCTCCGAGAACCAAGAAACCCGTTGTTCCTTCTCTTGCTAAGAACCATCGCACCACCGTCATCATCATCATCCGCGTTCTCAGGGCTAAAGCTACCGGCACGAAACGAACCGCCGTAACGCTCACTTTTCACCATCCTAAAAGAAGAAGACAGAAGCCTACCCCTACCCACGTAAGGAACGTCCAATACGGCGGTGGGCGAGTTAAGTTTGTTGTTCTTGTTGGCTTCCTGCAATAGCAGCAACCTGGGGGGAAGCTCCAGGCACTTCCCAGCAAAGTCGTCGGAGAATGGGGTGACCGTGGTACAAGGCTTGGGTTTTCCCGGTTCCTCCTCCCACCCGAACGGGACCGATGCGGAGGCGCGTAACGGTGGGGTTAACGTCCCTGGTCTTTCCGGTGACACCTCCATGTGTGCATGTGGAGATGAAAACAATGGTAGCCTTGATGACTCGAATCCCATGGTTTGGCTGCTTTAAGAAAATGGTTACTAATTGTTTTTAACGTACGGGAAGGTTAGAGGAAAGAAAAGCCGTTCTTATAATGTAAAGCTCTCAACTTGAACCTTAAGTTAAAAAAAAAGACTTGAAATATAAGCTTTACAAATTAATATGGAATTCTAACTAAATACATTAAAGGATTGAGTTCTATGGTTGTTATTAATCAACGTTGAATCACCCTATTAGCTATTAACGAACGTTGAATTACTCTACTGTAGTTGTTAGTGTTCGAATTCGTGACCAAGAACAAAAATGTTCATTTACCAGCTGAATTAAATTGGTTTGTTCTGAATTTTTAAGATTAATTTATGAGTATGAATCAAATCTGATTATTTTCTACTTAAATTATTATTATTATCAAATATTCATTTGAAATATATAAAATTATTCATTTACAAGCCGTCTTCTTTAACGTAATTTTTTCTCTCAATATTTTTATGCCATCTTTTTTTCTTCCTTTATTTTTTTGTTTAGCCGGCGATTACACTAAATTTTGATACTGGTTGCAGACCGCCGGTGATTATTAATTTTCTTGTTCTTTTTCATATTATGTTTTTATTTATTTTTCTTGACTTTGTTCAATTTTAAATAATAATTTTTATCCTTGTGACACGCTTTTTCTCTGTTCTTTTGGCACGTACCTTATATTTTTCGGTAAGTTTTTCACATATTTCTGCAGTCGTGTTGGTGTTTCCACAAAGATCCTCACGACATTTTTTTCTGATTAGCTGGTCGGTAGGCACATATTGTCAAATCCCCTCTTTTGTAAATGGTCGTTTGCCGATATAATTAGAATTGTGTAGCGACGCAGTCTGCTAAATTGTTTGGTTCGCTCACCGCTCCTTTATCACATCGTAAAACTTCTCGTTCGATAGAGACAATGAATTTTATGAAAGTTACTGGAATGTTCTGATGTTTGGAAGGTTTCATTCTCTTCATATATTTGAGTTTAATATTTTTATTTTATGTATGAGTTTTTGGTGACCATTATCTCTAATTTTTTCTTTAGATGCATTGTAATTTTGATTCTTTAATTTTTATTAATGAAATTCAATTACGATTGTTAAAAAAATTATTCATTTACAAAGCACCAAATATATTCATGGTTACCCCCAATCATAAAAGCACTAAAGTAGGAAAACATACGTAGATGGCGTACCCCTTTAGAATATCTTTCACTAAAGGTACCTAATCTTTCCAACTTTGAATATAAAATAAAAGGTGAAGTGGATACCACAAGGTTTTAATTCATATGCCCAAGTAATTTGCGTATATTATTATAAAAGTTTTGTTTGAGTTTGTCTCATATATAATAAATATATAGATTATTCCACTTATAATTATTTATTAAATAATTTCTTTTAGAAAGAAAAAATATATATATAATAATTCTATTGATTTATGTTACATCTGCAATAAAGTGTTTGTAGAATGTTCACCTGGTTTCTAGGTTTTGTCTTGGGTCGTCCACTTAGTTTTTATGGTGGGTCTTCCAATAGAGATTTTCTACATATACAAAGACTCGAACTCGAGACCTTACTTATCCGATATCAAGTTGGTTACCACTTAATCCATCCACAAAAATCACACTCAAACAATATGATTTGTGCATTACTCGTGATGTACATGTATGCTTAACGGGAAATTAATTACCAATCATTAATGCACGATGTACATTGGCCAGATTTATGGTCACCATCGTGGGTTATTGCAAAGAAAACATAGGTTCAATGCATAATATTATTCATGAAAAGAAAAGAGACGAAAGCGATCGAACGCTTGTGGAACTTATACTCCCACGACCTTAAAAACCCTATAAATGTCTTGGTCGGAGAACATAGCCATAATGCAATAAAAGCCCCTTAAACAACAAGTTTAGCGGATCAAATATCAAGCCTCGGCCGTTTCAGCCATTAAAGGTTATAACTTTTTTAGATTTAATTATAAAATAGTTGTCTAAACAATATCAAAATAGGTGTCTAAATTTCTTTTTGAATCATTCAAGTACTTAATGGTACAAATATTATCACTTTAGGTGTTTTGATCGTAACAATCATTAAATAATCTCTTTAAGTAACAAGTGTCACATTTATAAAATTTTGAAACTTTTATTTTAAAAATAAATAAATAAATAATATTAAAAAATTAAAGAAAAATTCCCCAACCTGCGTCCCCCTCCCCTACAATGGCCAAAGTTTAAACGGATGTCTAAACAGTCGCTGCCACATTAGGCTAAACATCCTATTACCACAATCGACCAAAGAGATTAAAGAGATCGGTTATTTGAGATTTTAGGGATCATGGATTGAAGTGTAAGGATTTGAGAATTTTGAGTTTTAAGATGATAGCCAGGGTTTTGACCGGTCAGTGGGTGGTCGACGACATATGGGTGGTCATTCGTTGACAGATGGGTTATCGGAGATGGCCAATGATCGGAATAAAGTGGACTAGAATAAGAAATTTTTTAGACTTTGATGTTATTTTTTAGATTTTAAAATTTTAAAGTTTTTTAATGTTAATTTTATGTTTTTAAATAAAATTTTAAAACTATATATATAAATGTGACACGTGTCATTTAACAGGATTTTTCAACGACCGTTACGTTCAAGGTACCTAAAGCGATAACATTTGTAACGTTAAGCACCTAGATGATTCGGGAAAAAAATTAAACACCTATTTGAGAAAAAGTTATAATTTGGAGGCTTATTTTATAATTAAACCTTTTCTACATTAATCATCACCGCCGGCTCCTTTCCTGTCACGTGCTAAAAAATCGAGTATATACAACTTCATTATCGAATCATGAGACTTCAAAAAAAAAGTCATTCATCTTCATCAACATTTACCCTATGTTTTAGGTTATTATTTTAGAGATAAAAGAAGATAATTTTTTATCACTTGCAACAACAACAAAAAAGAGAGGATTCAACCTCTCACCGGAAGTTATTCAAATACACTAGTCGTACTTAAGATTTTTGACTATCATAATTAACGATTTTTGATCCAAATCAAAAAGAATGAATCGTAAAAAAACATATACAATATTCATCCACCAATGTTACTTTAATTAAGGGTTTGGTAGAAAAAAATGGAGGAACGGCATTAAAAGCAGAGGACTGTGTAAGCCAGCTTATGTAATGGCAAAGTCAAAAAGGGGGAGAAGACAGGTTAACTAATAAATGATTTGTCTATAAGAGACAAAGCTTATAAGGAGAGTGGTTGAATCGTAAGGGAAAAGTAAGTAATAAATGTAAAATTAGCTGACCTTATTCCCATATGTAATTGGGTAAGAGGAGGTAGGATAGTAGGTTGTTCCCAACGTTAGGTTGAGAGCAACTTCCGTGGGAGACCTCCGGTAGTCAGAATTATCAATTGTCCACCGTAAGATTTGATCTCACGACTACTAGATTAAGAGTCTTGCGCTCTACCAACTGAGCTGGACATGCAATTAGAAAAGTAAGTAATAAATGTGTATTATGTTATTTTTAAGGGTAAAGTACAAAAATGGTCCCTCAACTATAAGCTACTATTTTATTAAGTCACTTGATTATTAAAAGTTACAAAACGATCCTCTGACTATAGAGTGTTACTTTGTTGAGTCACTCGACTATTAAAAGTTATAAAATGATCATCCGGTTATTCATTATGTTTCAATTTTATCCTTTTTCGTTAAAAATTGAGGGTATTCTGAGTTAAAAGTTACTCTACTAACTATGATATGATAAAATTTGATATCAAAATCTCAAACGATTATCATATCTCAGTCCTCATGTTAACGTTTAGGTTAGACAATCGTCAATTTTAACGGAAAATGACGAGTTTGGAATATAATGAATAACCGGTTGACCATTTGATAACTTTTAATAGTCAATAGACTTAATAAAGTAATATCCTATAGTCAGGGGACCATTTGTGTACTTTGTCCTATTTTTAATTAGAACCTAAAAAATGTTGGGTATCTCCTTTGACTTTAGGCCTTTTTTTTCCCCTTTGAGAAGCCATCAAATGGCTCTCATTTTCCTTAATTTTCACTATCTGTAAAGGCTAAAAGCCGTGCTCATTACAGAATCCTTCATCGGACGTTTTGACTTATGCAAATCCCAGAAACAAAAGGTATACAAAACGTGGCCAGGCAAGGATGATTATGTAGATGCATGGATGAAGGGAAAAGCAGGTCCAGAAAGCAAGTTTCAATCAAATTTTTGTATTGGGAGTGTTCGGTAAACAACTGATAGTTGATAACTTATAGTTAATTTCAGTAGTTGGTTTGATCAAATGATTTGATTAGTTTATTTGAGAAACTAATTTGATTAATTGTTTATATAAAAATGTTCGGTATAATTTAGTTGATAGTTGGTATGTGTAAAATGACAAATAAGAGTGTGATACATTTAGTTATTAAGTACATATATGTTTTATAATACTTTAGTCTTTATTGAGGGTAAAATTATTCGGATAAAATACTTTTGACAAGGAATTAAAAATTCCTTAAAAAAATTAGTGAATATTTTTAAAAATTTTGAATATATTTTTTAAATTTAATATTTACAAATATTAACCTTTTGAGATTGGTACATACCATTAACTTTGTATAAAATATCAACACTATATTTTTTTTACTTTCATGTTTTACTATATTTTCTTATATATATTTGATAATCTACAACTAAAAAATAAAATAAAATAATAAAATAAAATTCTAGCTTAAATATATTAGGATGAATGCTATTTCATTATATTAACTTAAATATGTCATTTACCATCTTGTTTTACAACCAGTTCTTTCAAACCGCTAGATTTTCTAGTATTTTCATTTTCAGTTTATTTTATAGAATAAGTTATTTTAAAAAGGTGTTTACTAAACACTAAAATTAAAAGGTTTGATTATCAATAACCTATTTATGTTCACATAAATTAAAAGTTCTTCAAAAAGCTGTTTGCCAAACGTTCTCATTATGTTTCACTAATTAAATTTTTTTCTCAATAATAATCTGTTTTAATAAGCAAATAATCATCGATTAGTGAACTGGAA